TGAACCGATAAACCCTGCAGGGAAGGCAAATATTCCCATGTCAAATGCAGTGACCTTGCATAGGAAATACTAATCGCCTTCCCTTCTACCCAAAGGAGGGGAGTAGCTTTCCTTTTGAGATTAAACCCCACTCCCCATGCCCCAACACATTCTCGTAGTGTTGCTGATAGAAAGGAGGAAGAGAAATGAATGCAGCATGTGTTGTGGAAGACAGAATAATCCTGCATAATCTCCTGTGTGATTCCTAACTCCACCCAAGCCTCTTGGTCCAGCAGATCCTCCAGCTCTCACTCAGCAGGCATATGAAGTTGTGTAGTAGGTTATCATGTTTTATAAAATCTGTCAGGGAGCAGCAAGAGTAGGGCTGCTCCACAATGGGATGTGAGCCAGGAGCCAAGGGTGACCCCTGCACAGGCAGTGCCCTCGCCGGCTAGGGCACAGTGCTACCAGTCCGAAACAGGGTGGGCTGATCAGAAGTGGTGATAACAGGGTCCACTGACCATTCCAGTGAAGGCAGGGTGACGGTCATGTCCAAGGTCTACCGAGGGAGTCCAGTTAGGAGCAGCAAGAGATGGGGTCAGAGGCAAGGCTGGAAGCAAGGCTAAAGCATATGGCACAGGTACAGCTAGCTCAGGCGAAGTCTGGGTGCCTAGGCCTGGGCTGAAATGGAGCTCCAGGAACGACGGGTGCATGCGTGAGGGTCCCAGCCAAGGCTAACTGGGGCAATTAAGAGCGGTGCACTCAGAGTCCTGAGAAAATCTCTTCTGTTAGGTGAAAGCCATGTGAGGCTGTCCTTGGAAATAAGCCCAGAACAGGCAGGTTCTGTCCAATGTGAAGTCTGACCTACCATCTCCATTTCTCATCCCACTATTCCCTTAAGTTAAACTAGATCTGAAGGTTTGTTTTCCCGGCCTAGCAGTTACAGAGTTGTCCAGGGGAGGGCAGAGATGCTCAGAGGCCTTATTTGCAGCGCAAACCTCGAGTAACAACTCTGTGGCCAGGTAAGATCACTGCTGGATAAATGTGGGAGTTCACAAGACTGGAATATGCCCTTTCACTACAGACAGCTCCTCAATACTGTGAAATGTTAGTGATGTAAGTCAGGCATAACATTGTGCCCGTGGACTATGTCCTTACCCCAAGAAGTTGCCAGTACTCTCTGTGTCTTTACTTCTGTCTCTTCTAGTCTTCTCCAGTGAAGGTTCAACCAGGTATACTCACATGTACATCAGACCCCGAACATCCTATAAGACACCATAATGTTTCTTTAGGTGCCTCTGTAAGGTACTGCAGAACCCAGTGCCGCCTTTGAAGGGTTCCAGGAACATGTCTCCAAGTATTCAAGAGTGGATCTGAGCAGAGGCATTGCAGTCCAGACACTGATCCCAGAGAAACCCTTATAGTACTGCCAGTGTGGATGTTAAAAACAAGCTAGTCTGAGAAACTGCTTCAAAGTAATTTTAACTCCCTTTTGCAAATGCTCTTAGTGCCTGGCATGTGTCTGAGATAACATCCCTCTTGACTGTGTTCAAGCACAGATCTGTAGCTCCATTTTAGCTTGTTTTGAGATTTGGTTAACGAGGAGTCATTTGCTTTCTGCAGTTTAAGGCCTCATTTACCTACCCTAATGGGCCATTTTAGCCACTCCCGTATATTTGAAGTAGTACAACCCTCCCACCCTGGGGACTGGCATAGTGGTGTATTGAGTATAGGGGTATGGCTCTTACATAAACAAGCTGTATCAGTATAAGGCACCGTGATGCTAGTAAACTCGTGTCCACAGTACATTTGGAACCACTACTAGTAGTCTGGCTTAAAGTACTGCATTCTCAACCTGACTGCTTATTCTGTGGGAAACAAGAGAGTGTAGAGCAGGCCTTAAAAACTAAGGATATACTGAGACTATATGCAGAGTCATCGCACAGACTGTGCCATGAGGATCCAGTGCTCAAAGAGCTCAGAGGTTGTGTCCTAAATGTAATTACTCTGAAAGGTTTCCCCCTTCATGGGAGTGCCTCTCTTTCAGCAGTCCTTGATCTCTTCTCCCAGCAGACCACATTGCTTAGGATTTTTTTTTAAACACTCCATGTTTCTCTCCAGCTCTCGCCCCTCAGTCTGTCATTACTCAGCCATCTCCTCAGTCTGGCACGAAGCAGGCTGTCCTCACAGGGAGCTGTGCTGCTGATGGGAATTGGGGTTGTGACTTGTAAGTGTAGTGTTCCCAGGGAGCCAGAAGTGTTTCTGCAGGCTACGGGGGCTCGGTGATGTTGGATGTTGTAGTTTTGGATGACTGATTCCTACAAAACACTGGCAAGCTTCCCCGTAAACAGCACTCCTGAGCAGCAAGTTGCTGGAAGAATGGCTTTTAAAACTTGAACCTGCCCGATACGCAGATGTTCCTCTTAGGCTCTGATCATTTGTGGCCATTAAAGACCCTGGCAGCCAGTTCCCTGATATATTAAATTCCGGCTCAGCTGTTCTTAGTCTGTTTCCCCAAATTCCCTTTGGAATTTCAGCTCGGCATTTCTTTTCTCCCTGCTCTCACTTCTGTTGCGGAGATGTTAAACTACTGCCACACCAAACTCAGAAGGCACCAGCATTTCTGCAATGTCCAGTGAGAAATGCCTGCATGGGAAAGGAATTCATTTAACAAGGAAGGGATGGGACAGGACACCTGCACTACTGCCTCTGCCCCAGTAAAGCTGTGAATGTGCTGCCCACCTTTACAGGTGGTGCACCATTTTAAGCAAAGCTTGGTCAAGTGTGACTGCTCCTGCCTGTTGGCTCAGGATGACGACTTCCCTGCTGAAGCATGGACAATAGATGGGCTAAAGCCATAGAGTTTACAGCATTTGGCATTCTGTAAGTGCAGGGGCCACAGCTTTATGACTGCTAGTACTACAGGGCTGAGGGAAAGGGACTGTGGCTCCTGGAAATGTTAACAATGAAGATGCAGGGATGCTTGTGTGAGGTGTGTGAGATGCTTGATGCCTTCACAGGACAGAAGTGGGTCTGCAAAATGACACAAAACCTGGGTAGTAGAAAAATGCCTTCCCCCTCCACCCCCTTCTTTGGCCAGGACTCGGGGGGCCACAGCACAGACATGGGTGAGGTAAAGGGGCAAGCAGCTTTACTCCTTTGATGCTTACACCTCAGGCGGCCCCCATGGTCAGATCCTTCCTGCTGCCCTGTACAGGCAGCAGAGTCCAAATGCTCTTTGCCTTCATCTGTAGCTGGCTCCCTTTTGGGCTGCTTCTCCTCACACACTGCCAAGCCAACTGCATAGCCAGGAATAGAGGCACCAACGGCCACATTGTCTCTTGTCTCTTTCTGTTGACTTAAGGGTAGTTTTTTCCAGCGCAGGAGGTGAACAGGTTCCTGCTTTGTTAGGGAGGTGAGCCCAGACAGGCTGGCGCCATCAGGGAGCAGTCTTCTGGGGCTGTGAATGTGCTGCTGCTTCTGCGTCTGCTTCGCTGTCACTTCTGCTGCTTTGCCCTTCTTGTTGCAGTGTGAATCAGGCCTGTCTTGCATAATGTAACTGAATATGGCCAGGGTAATGCTATCGCCTGTCTTTGTCCATGTGCTTATCTCCTAACCAAGCATTAACACCCTCCAGAGGTTCCAGCACTTTGCCACAGCTCACAAACAGCAACGCTATGCTTTGCTTCTCTTTATTACTTGTAAACTTACTGAAAAATTTCCATCAACATTAGTGACACTCCAAGAGCTGTTTGCAGAGAGCCATCCACCTGATTGTGATTAGATACCTCCAAGGAGGTTTCCAGTAAACTCCAGGGCTCCCAGCATTACTGGTCACCGCTGCTGGGGCTGCTGCATCTCTCTGAACAGCGTTCACAAATGTATTGCTTGTCTGTTTGAAAAGCCACCAACCAGGCCTTCTCTATAATGACCTTCTAAGTTGCCACAGTATATGTATCTGCACAGCTATATCCATAACGTTAACACCTTGCTAGGAACAGAAAGAAGACTGATGAATGTACAGATTATGTGCTGTGATGAATGTCGCTGTCGCAGAGGTATTTTTTCACATACCTTGTAAGTGCAATGTGTGATGACAGTGCATTTACTTTACAAGGTTTTGCGACAAGGACTTGCTAGCATATAATACCCACAGGATAGTAAATGTACCTTGAGCTGTTCCATGAACTCAAGCTAATCAGAATAATCATGAAACACATGCTGGTTTTCTCCCTATCCCGTGATGTAATTGCTGAGGTGCTTCTTATGTTAGTCGCAGTGGGAGAGCACAGGGTGTCCGAAAGAAACCGTTGACTTCAGCTGGCTTCTCACAATGGTTTATTGCATCTCTCAAATGAGACCATTTGTAGTTTTCTCAGCTCCCTGAAAAAAGCCCTGTTTTACACTGAGAAGAACTTGCTGTCTGGACATTATCATCTTAATTTTCTGCCCTTCTCATCTCTTCAGGTAATGACCAGAGATCCTGACCATTTCCTAAATTGCTGGGGACTGATTTTCCCCACTCTAAGATCTTGCTGGTGGCAACCTTGCTCAGGCTCTCTTTTACCAGTTCTCTGTTAAAATCCATTTCCTCGTAGAGTAATCATTTGCTTCAGTTCCTTCTCCCACACATGGGTCATTTTGAAAATATCCTCATGCATCACCTCAGTTTATCCCAGGTTACCAGCCTGTCAGACTGTTTGGCTTCCTTTCTGGAAAGTTTTGCTGGAAAGAGTACGTGAAATCTGTAAAATCGCTGGCCAAAGTCAGTTATGTCAGATGACTAAATTTGAGCGCCTTTTTTTTTTTTTGAAAAATCAAGTATGCCCAGCACTTCCAAGCCATCAAAGAATTAAATTGCTTGTTTAACATACAGAGGTGCTTTAAACATGGACGTTTGGGTCTAATGTTAAGTATCTTTTTCTGAAATGTGTTCATCTCAGAGAATGTCTTGTCCCACTGCTAAAGCTTTGTCTGTCTGTCTCTTTAGAATGACTCCTGGGGGAAGCAGTATTCCTATGCGCTGTTCAAGGCAATGAGTCACATGCTCTGCATCGGGTATGGGCAGCAGGCGCCCGTTGGCATGTCAGATGTGTGGCTCACTATGCTGAGCATGATTGTTGGGGCCACCTGCTATGCCATGTTCATCGGCCATGCCACAGCCCTAATCCAGTCTCTGGACTCCTCACGGCGTCAGTACCAGGAGAAGGTAAGGTCTGGGCTTTGCAACCCTTATGTGACCGAGGGGTGGTTTACACACTGTCTGGAGGAAGCCAGGGCTGTCAGTGACCCATGTGAGAGGCCAAAGGTGCGGTGTCTTTGTCACCACGGCAGTTTATTGGTAATTCATACCCATCCATTCACTCAAAAAGACCCTCAGGAGGAAAGAGATGCAAGATCAGATTAATAATAGTAAGGCAACTGGGTGATTCTTGTTGTCTCTGACTGGTTTTTTAGATCAACGTTATCAATGTCACTAGTATCTAAAATTGCAAGTCACTTTTTCCTTTCCGAGATCTTGTTTCAAATCCCAAGTGAATGTTCCAGGATGTGCAGCTTTTGTTTAGGAAGTACTTTCTTTAAAAGTATTGAGATTATTCACTTCAGTGCTCATGAGTGAAACCACATAACAAACCCCAAAACACAGATACAAAGCTCAGGAGCTCCGAACAGGTTCCCCAGGTAGCTATTGAATTAATTGCACTGTTGTTGAATTGCATAATACAGGGCAGAGACAGAAATGTCACAACTGATCAGGTTACCACTGCAGCGGCAGTAACTGGTACTGGTGGGTTTAAGGTGATGCTGTGAATTTGTAAGACGGTAAGGGGCAAACAGGGTCAGTCACCATGATTCAACTGATGAAGCTCATGGAACTGCCTCAATTCCTTCCCTCTTTCCATGCCTTTGGTATATTGCTATATGTACAATGATATTTTGTTATCTAAAGCAAAGGGGCTCCTGCTGCACTGATGCTTTTCCCTCTAGGACACAGACAGGCAAAACTTCTGCTTTCAGCTTCTGGTTGAACCCGTAGGCCTGCACCTCCACAAAACAGGAGAGCTAATTGAAGAGTGTCTGTGTGCAACAAGAGCAAGGGCCTGGGTGGCTCAGAGGTGAGGAAGGGACTTTACCACAAAGACAGTAGGTTACTTTCAGGTATCAACAAAAGCAACTGCCCTCAATTAATGGGGCTGAGGATGCCATGGGCAAGGAGGTGTTATGGTCAGGGTCTTATGGATACATTTGATCTGAAGATTAAGAGGAGGAAGAATTAGTTGCTAGCCCTATTCTGACCCTGCTTGGTGCAGCTAGGTTAGGTGAAAGGGTAGCTGTTATTCAAGTGGGTAAACTATGGCTGGCATGCACAGGCTAGGTGAATTTTAAGTTCAGGGAGGAGGTGGAAGAAAGGATTTGTTAGGTGGCCTAGGAACAGGTTTGAGACACAGGGGTTATAATGCTGGGCCACAGAAAGAGAGTAGGGCAGAGAGTCACAGCAAAGAAGACGAGAGGGTGAATCATGCTTTGAGGATAGGGAAGATCTCAAACCACAGCTAGAGCTAAAAAAGGGAAAAAGCCTAGGGAGGAAGTGTGCAGGACAGGGATGCAGCTGGAAGTCTGGGCTTTGTATAGCACTGTGTTACAGATTGTCTGGACTAATTCTAATTGAGAGTAAGACATGCCAAAGAGAAGGACACTGCAGGACTAGGAATGCAAGCTGATCAAATCTGTGTATGCAGAGTATTTATTCAAATGTGTTTGAAGTGGTGTTGGAAGTCAAGGACTGATTTGCAAATCCAGCCACCTGGTCAACCTAGCCGCAGCCAAGTTTACACTTGCAAGACTGGGCACTATGCTTTTTTTCCTCAAGCCAGGTCTGAAGACAAGGGCAGAACTTGACCCTTGAAGTTGGATTCCAGTCAGTGCTCAGGGAAATCAGTCACCAGTAAGCCAGCAGGAACTGTGGTGGGATTGGAGGAAGTGTGAAATGTTAAAGCCTTATTAGAATGTGTAGATGTGAATGAGAAAGTTAATAGAACCAGGAGGAAAGCTTTGTGACAAAAGCAGTGGGTAGAGGATTTAACAAAGGGTGTATTTCATGTGTAGTGGTTATAGCAGGTTCATTTCCCAAAGTATTCTCTGAGGATTAAAGCCTTAGGGATTGAGTACGTTCATTTTCCTCTTGCAAATGGGACAAACGATGGCCTAAAAACAAATATGTATTTACTTTCTGCATTCCTTAGCACTTGAATAGCCATGATTAAAATGAGGCTGCTTCGTGATTTGCAGCCCTGCAACTCAATTTAGTTCAGTCCTCATGGGACAATGTGTCTGTTGAAGCATATTATAAGAAAAGAATCTCAACAAGCTTAGAGGTCGATTGGTAAAAGCAGGCAGCAGTTTAGAGACCTCTGCAGAGTACGCCTTTGTGCTGCAAACAGGGCTCTGCCTCTCACCTCAGCAGAGGCTCACGCTGCAGAGACTTCAGCAGCCATTCTGGGAGTAGCTGAAGAAAGGAGAGATAGTGGGGAGGGAGACGAATAACAGAAATAACATAGTAACAGGACAGAAGGTTATAGCTAGTAATGGGAGTTTGTGGTGAAGTTTCAGGTTGTCTACATCTCTGCCAACCCAACTTGTTCTTCCCTTGTACAAACACAGCTTTTGAGAAGAGGAATACAAGCCAAGATGTACTGTCTGTTGGCTTCAGTAGCAGGCTTGTCTCACTCTGGGTTGGATTCATTGAACGTTTGGACATTCAATCCCTGTCCTGTCTAAATCTCTTCCTGTAGCATCTGACTTCATGCTGTGCTGGTTTCTGCAAGGCACAGAAGCTGTATAAGATCGATGGGGTGGTAGAAAGCATGGAGAATTTGGAGAGGGAAGTTGCACCTGCCAAGACAGTGTAATGCTGAGGTTTCTGAGTACAAGTGGAGAGTCCCATGTGGCACAGAGCACTCACACCAGCTCAGGCACTGGAAGTGGCACAGCCATCATGTAGGTCTGGCTCTGTGCCTCCCTTAAAAAAAGCTCTGAATCAGAATAGCTCTTTAGGTCTGGCACTCTGAAGTGACAGAGCTTTATTTCCCGTCCCAGAGGCAAAGTTAGAAGGGACCTGTCTGCCCCATCTTGCATTGCAGAGTGTGTTATGCTCTAAATTATTTGCCCATGGTCACAGAGAGGGTCAGGGACAGGATCAGGAGCTGACTGTTATCTCTTAACCTCAGTCTGGTGTCTAACTGCAAAATATCTTTGCACCCAAGATGGGTTTCTATTTCCTACATGTGAGAGAATATTACTACAAGTCCATCCTGAAGGATTCTGATAGAAAAATTTCCCAAAGTCATGTTGTGCAGTTACATCAATAATAACTGAATTGATCTGACAGTTTTGACCAAAGAGGGGAAGCGCCACATACCCTTTCTCAAGCAGCGCTCTCTGCCACTATTCTCAACTGGACGGTTTCACTCTTGTGCACCACCTTTCGTACTTCTCAGACCTTTACTGAGATGATTTCTTTCTTCCAGGTTAGTTTTCTGCCAGTTCAGTGGGTTGAAACTGTAGAGTCCAGTGAGTGCCAGAGCTGGTGCAGGGTGCTGGTGGTGGTCCATAAGCAAAAGCGGAGGCGCAAGGCCCTTTTCAGCTATTTGTGGATCAGCTCAAGCCTTAACATGTGAGTTCATCATGTTCTGTGAAATTACCCCACAACCTGCAGTAACGGTGGCTCACAAGAGAGGAAGAGTGTTTCTTGCGCAGGATATGAATAAACTAGACCAATATACAAGTTATTTTCATGCTTTTTGCAGGTTCTCCTATTAATTTCTTTCTCTAATCCTAAAGCTCAGCTGGATTAACATTTATGTCAAGTCACCACACACACACTCTCATCCTCCCCAGCACATTCTGTAACCTTCAGGCTTTTGGGAGCGGTGATTATGCTGCCTACTGCAGCCACGTTCTTTGGAACAAAGCAGAGGGAGACTCTGGGCTTCTCTCTCCCATCCCGGCAGGATGCAAGCAGTGATGGGCATCGTGCAGAGAGGCTCAGCTCTCCTGTGTTATCTTCTCAGGTGCATACGGAGGCATGACTGATGAGAGGTAGGAATTGCTGCTGTCAGCATTGCGGAGCCCAGCAAAGCTGTAATCTCTCCTTCCAGGGCCTCATCTCTCCTCAAGATCTGTCTGCTACACTGGCATTCCATCAAGCGCTCTGCTTTCCACATTGAATCCCCTGCTCCTCCTCCCACCGAACCATCACTATCTCAACTATTCAATGAACCCTAACTGTCCAATGCCTCTTGTTCTTAAAATATTTATTGAAACTGGGTAGATACTTAGATACTTGCATATTCACTTGTCATTACTCTGAAGAAGCACATGCTGCAGCGCAGTTGCAAGAGGGCAAGCAGGTAACACTAAAGAGAGAATCACTTCGTAAATCCTGCAGAAGCGGTAACATCACCTCTCAGTTCCTGAAACAGCCCTGCTTACCCATCAGCACAGTCCTTCTTGTCACAGTTCTGTCCCATGGTCTGGCTATCCAAGCAAAAAAGCACTTTACTGTCCAACTATCGACTTTTCTGTCATCAGCCTGAATTCAACAAAGAGTAATTGGGGAAAACTTAGTAATTGTAAAGGCTGAAGCCTGATAACTGGAGCATTCAATCTCTGTTGGAGACAAAGCAGATGTTAGACTAATATTCGTTAGAGGGGAAGTGAGACACTGCCATTGTGCCTGGCTACTACAGTGAGAGCTGAGAAGCTGTCTTCTGGGCTTAGTCACTCCTTGCCCTTTCTTGGAGACCAGCAGTACTGACTCTTATTAGGCAACAGGTTTAAGGAGTGACTTTTTTAATGTTATGTAATTAAACTGTGGAAATTACTGCTACGGGGTGCTATGGAGACCCAAAGTTTGATTAGGCTCAGAATATTTAGACAAATTCACAGAAGAAAAATCTTTCAATTGTTACTGAATGCTAAGATGCAGGTACAACCACTGGCAGTGGGTATCCCTAATCTGCTTTTGTCAGCAAAGCTAGGAGGGTATGGCCAGGAGCTGGATTGCTGTGTGCTTCTTTTATTCTTTCTCCTCTTTCTTCCTCTTGAGGAAGAGGAGAAGCTGAAACTGTCAGAGACACACCACCAGGTGAGAGGAGCCCTCAGCCTGACCCTTCGTGGCTACTTCTGTGATTTTAGGCCATTTTACTA